TCGAGTGATTTCTGGATACTCGTATGGACTACAACACCACCTACTGAGTCCAATTGTGAATTTAAACCATCCACTTGCCCACTCAAAGACACACAAAAATACATCAAAATCGGTCCAGACCTTTAGGAGGAGTTAAGTCACAAACTAACGCACAGAAGAATCATATATAAAAAGATTTATAAAACACTTAACCTTTTCGATTTTCGTTGAAAGTGGCGGTGTAAGAATATTCACTACCTCATATCATTCCGTGTGTGTCGTAAGAGGCGGCAAAGGGAATCACACCAAGTGATGGGCAGCAACTTCTTTCTTATAACGACTAAAAATAAAAAACTGCCGTGGCAAATATTCCCCCTACGTGGCATCTATGGGAGAGGCCTAAGTTCAGCAGTGAAATTTCATAGATTGTAACGGTAACGGCTTAAACAGAAAAATTAAACAATAATAATTCATTTATCCTTTCCTACTTGCATGATTAACCTTTGCAAGCGATTAAACAATGAGTGCGCGCGGCGCGATCGATGCCGCGCTTACTACTTGTCATCACGAAAAGCTTTGGCCGGCCATACTTTGTTATATTGTATTGTTCTGTATGTTAGAAAAAACCTATGAAATCACTTTGCTAGGTCGCTGTCTATCACAACTGTTTTTATTTTTAGACACTAACGCACTTTATTGAAATTTAAGTTAATAATAATATGACGGCTCCGCGACGCAATGCCTTAGCAATAAGTAGCAGCGGGAATCCCGCACGGAACAAGTACTTGTATAGCCTACAAATAATTGTTATGGATCTGGGTGTTTGTCCTCGTGTAATTTATGTATGCAACCTGTCTCCACAGTACAGGATAACATCCTAATGTCGAGGTAACCTTTTTAAAAAAAAATGAAAATAATAATTTTACCTAAATACAGACATTAATGAAAATGGTTGTTTAAAAATAACCTCCAAAGCTTAATAGAATCCAGTTATTGCAATATCATAGACACACTTCAATTTTATTTATATGTTGAGATGTATAGATTACTGCTTTTGATAAATAACTTATCAGTCTCCCAGTGGATCGGAGTAGTTGTGGATGTTGTTATCTAAAAAAATACTAAGGTTTAACTGGCTGATTTGACTAATATAACTATGTCTCCGGTAAACAATACTATTGTGATGGCCTCCTTAATATAAGATATACCAAAACGTAATATCTTATTCATGTTAAAGTGAACGTTCCCACAATAAAACTCGTATATTCACTCGACGACGTAAATAATATCGTCTAAAAGAATGTTCATGTATTCCTCTTCAATGTAACCGTGAAGCTAAAATCGGGTTCTAGTAAATTTAATATTATCTACTGAGACGGAAGATCGATACACATATTATTACTTCATACATTCATTCATTTGAATCTGAATCTGAATCACATGGTGAGAAATTTTGTAATAAGAGAAAAGTCTGGTTTGCGAGATGATGTTGTGACCAGGATTAAAAAAGGAATGCTTCGGTGGTTTGGTCGTGTAGAAAGAAGGAACGAGAAAAGTGGGACAAAGCAAATTAATGTTGCAGAAGTGAACGGCAGACTCGGCATGGAACGCCTAAGACAAATGTTTATCGACCAAATTGGCGATATATTGGAGATTTGCCATATTAAGAGTACCCTTAACCTACGAGCATGTATGCGTAGTTATATAGATCTAAAGGAAGCGAGAGAATTGTTTCAGGATCGTACTAAATAGAAGTTCTTATTCTCTGCCTACCCCTCTGGGTAACAGGCGTGAGTGTTTATGTATTATGTATTATGTTTCATTCATTCGTTTATTACGGATAATCAAAAGTAGACCGTTGATATTTGCCATAGTTGCCACGCTTGGCAGTCGGGTAGGCAACTGGATAATTTATTATTATCATCCAGTTTTTATCAGGAAGGTTCTTCTACTTCTTGTTTCTCGCTGTCACTTCTTAAAATAACCACGGAATGATATAGGTACTAGATTTTTTTTCACTGTCTCTAAAGAGCACTTAACTTTTATTATCATTTACATATAAGTATTCTGTAAGCTTTTCCTTTATAAACCACTTGAGAATAGGAAAATGCCACAAAAAGGGTTATTTTTTAGTTATAAAATAATAAACTATGTTCTAAGAAACCTAACTTTAATTAAAATATAAAATACCGTCAGTATATTCGTAACTATGTATAAATCCATTCTAGTCCTTAATTTCATATGGGATAACGAGCTACGGACAGACGTATAAAACTTATCTGGACCGGATATACACACTATAACTTTCAATATTAAAAACTATAACATCCAGTAAAGAAATACTGAAACACAAAGATAATTACCGCGAACTATTCAAAAAATATCAGTATAATATAAAAAAGTATGCTATTCACTTCTAGTGGAACAATATAACAATAGTGAGCTGAAACACACTGCTCAACAACCTCTGTAACCAGAAAGGCTGTAAAAAGTACGTTAACTACGAGTAAAGCTAGACATATGGACAGATAAGCACAAAATAAAAGATACCTAGATTCATTAATCAAATTACTACTGAGCTACGTCATAAGATTAACGAAAAAAATATGAGTTAACAAAATATTACTTTTTTTTCATAGCAGAGGGGGCCAACGAGCATGCGGCTCACCTGATGGTAAGTGACTACTGCCGCCTGTAAACAACTGCAACACCGGCCTTTTAAAAAATAATAGGCTCTTTTCTTGAAGGTCCCTAAGTTAAATCGGTCCGGAAAAATCTCTGGTGGTAGTCGATTCCACAAGGAAGTTGAGCGAGGAAGAAAAAAAAAGAAAAAAAAATTGGATGCGGTCCAGTGGAAGGAGCTGGCACTGGGCAGCCCCTGCCCAGAGATGGCAACAGTATTCCATGTGGGGCCAAACTTGCACCTTGTAAAGTTGCAAGCGGTGTGCCGGCATGAAATACTGTCTGCTCTGCTGAGCACGCTAAGATTTTTAGAGGCCAATTTGGCCATCTCTTCCAAGTGACCACGAAACTGCACATCATTCGATATGTCGACGCCGAAGATTCAACAAAGGGAGTGCCTTGAAACGGAGGAGATACGACAAAGTGGTTCTGTTTAGCGGTAAACGCTCAAACTCGTTTCTTCTGGGGATCGTATAGACAATATATTCACATTCACACAAATATATGTAGATATACACGTATAAGCTATAACAATACATATTTACCGTAATTATGCATACTTTCTATGAACATAGATTACTACTTAGAAATAAATTTTATTAAAAATACATTTTGTATAACCTGAAAAGGAATATACGAATAGTCTTTTAGACGATATTATTTACGTCGTCAAGTATTATTGTGGGAACGTTCACTTTAACATGAATGAGATATTACGTTTTGGTATATTTTGTTGTATAACTCAAGCAAACGACTGGTGCTATTGTATATTACGCGTCACATGAGTACTCAGAACCGGTTACGAAGTCAAATATACAGCCTGAACACCATTTCCCGGTTTTTGACGATAACAGTAACTTTGTGATTCCCTGTACACATGCAAAAGTGAGATCAATTTTAGAGAGTGACGGTTGCAGTGTCGCCATATACAATTGACTATTGTTACTAGTATGTCTATTAAAACATTATTTGATATTGCTTTTAAATATTTAGATTTTTTTTTACATCGGTTTCCTAAACCATCCAGGGAACTACTCAAATACACACACACCAAAATTAATCTAAGTCAGTCCAGCCGCTTAGCAGGAGTTAAGTGACCAAAACACGTACAGAAAAATTATATACATAGTTATCAATGAGGGTACTATAATTTTCCACCAATTGTATCAGTGTAAAGTATCGCGCAGGAGACTAAGAGGGATCAGTCGATAATTCTACAAGTGTCACTGTCGTTACTATGCCCATTGGAATATTTTACTATTGTAGTCAAGGAAGGTCGTGTTTCTGAGAGGCTGCCCTGTGTTACATTGAGAGGTGGTGTTGCTGTTGGTTTGCATACTTTGGTATTATCACGTAATTACGTCCTTCACGATATATGTGTGATTGTGACGGGAGCATTTTACGTTTGGTCGAATTGTATTGTTCTATACTAAATGTATAGTGCAGTGCGCTATTTTGTTACTGATAATGATCGCTTTTGTAAGCAGGAGAGCAAGTTAAGCATCCGCTCTTACACCTTTGTTATATTTGGCAATTGGCCTCCAAAATGGTTTCTGATAGTATAAGGTTTTGTTACCGATTAGTGTTTTTTTTTATTTATTACATTTTGAGATTAATTTCTAACAGAAATAATAGAAAGTAGGTAATGGTTCATTTGTTGAACAGGATTACAGCTCATAGAAATTGCTTTTTCCTTGTGTTTGCTTAGTCTGTTGTATATAATAAATAATTGATTATTAATTCTTCCACAGCATCATTTTCAGAATTCTGTATAGAACTACCAACTGTATAGGTTTAAATAACATTACCGAAATCTTCACTGTTGTTAAGAAACAAAAAGAGAAATCTGCCTAAAGTGTTTCCTCCTTAAGTATTTAACGAGCGTTCAGGCGAAGCAGCCATTGATCGTTTCTTTGTAACGACCACGAGCCGCGCCAACTCGCTTCGTTTTACGACCGATATTACCACAACTTTCAACCAATAAAACAAACGAAATGCAAGAATGAAGGATTAGCTAATCAGGTTTTATGAATGTTCACTAGAACAGAAAGTACCAACGCTGAATTTCATCCATCTCATCACAGTTATTTCTAATTTATTTTATTATAATACCGCAAGTTATATCTTTTAAAGAAGCAAGTTAAAATGTAAAGATGTAAGGCCATAACGCTGATTTATTTATTTATTTAAATTAACCCATCTGGCTAACAGAATACATTCCAAAACTTCGACACACAATCTAAAACAAAGTAAAAACTAGTTTTAATTAAATTCGCGTAGAAGTAATTTTATTCAAAAATATGATTGATAACAGGGAGCGTTATCGACGGTAGGCAGTGATGAGGGGCGCGCGGCCCGCGACACTTATGGCCGCGATGGCCGCCCTGGCCCTGGCCGGCGCGCCCGAGGGCCCGCCCGCGGTCAGCTCGTGGCCGCCCGCCACCGACCTCGCCACCACCTTGCCAGCCACCGAACTGAGTGCCGCTGAGCTGAGTGCCGCTGAACTCGGCGCGGCAGAACTGGACGCTGCAGGAGTACCGGCGTGGCGAGAGCTGTGGCAGTCCTCACTGGAAGCTCTTCGCCGCGAGCCCACCATCAACAATACTCAAGAGGACGTGCTTGTGCAGCTAGGTGGTGTGGCCTTCCTGCACTGTCCCGTCCGCAACCTTGGCGAGCGTGGAGTTCGTATTTATTTCGTTATACATAAATAAACAAATAAATTTTCCGACATATTCTTAAATTAATACAAGCAAGTTTGAGGATTTCTTTAAGTATAAAAATACTTGTGGCAGAGGGGTGATGTGTATTTCCCCTCACATAGATTAGAAAAAAAATTCTCGTAAGAACTCAAACTAGTTTAACTTTAAAATTTGGCGGCATCGGTGTAACAAATACAGTAATTTAGTACTAGTAATATTACATGTCCGGCTTTTCTTGCTTCTATGCAACGTTCATTTATTTTATGTAACAAAATCTAAATAATAAAGTGAACCTGTCTTCTGTCACAGAGGTAACGCAAACTTAGCAAAGGTTTTGTCCCAGTGACAAAGCTTTAATGGAAGTTAACCAATTATGAACAAATATCGAAACTGGAAATTCCGTTGATACAAATGTGACCTAAGATTTGTAACAAAATTACCGTTAATATTAAGGTCAGGCTTCTCAGCTATTTCGACTGAGAAATATAGATACCGATTACAAACTTGTCTATCAAGTAATCTTGGCATCTTACTTAACGTTAAAAGCTTGTGCATCGTATTATCAGCTTAATGTAGCCATTCGGCGATGTTTCTAACTACAATAAGAAATTAGAAAAACTACAATAAAATCAGAACAATAAAGAATTCCTGTATGGTAGTTGCGTAAGAGAATCTAACTGTCGTAAAATTGACTATCAGAAACGAAATCAAGATCTTATTGTTTTGATACTGGTATAAGATGGTATAACTTTTAGCATATGCTACGTCAAAAGTTGGGAACATCCTAATTTGCGTTCGCCAATCAGGATGCGAGGTAGGGGACTGTATTTACCAAAGATATAAATACTGTTACAAAATAAACGTTTCGTTTTCGTTGATTAAAATAATTTGAATTAAAATAATTTGTTCGCTTCGATTTGTGACTAGGTGTCGTGGGTGCGGAGACGCGACTGGCATATTATTAGTTCTGGTGTATTCATGTACACTAATGATGAGCGCTTCCAGGTAACATATACTAGTAAACACTAATCGCAATTGTAAGTTGTTTCCCAAGTGACTATTAAAACTATTCTACTTTTAGGTACTTCACAGTGAAGGTTCAGATGATTGGGTGTTACAAATTAAATACGTACAGAAGCGTGACAATGGTACATACGAATGTCAGGTACAAAATTAAGTTTTAATATCATTTTACCAAATATAATCAGTGCAATAATACAGAAATAATGTTAGGTATCAACGGGTTCCGGCACATTATCAAGACTTGTCCACCTGCATATTGTTGTGCCCGAGGCTTTTATTCTCGGTGCTGAAGAGTACCACGTAGACGCTGGCTCTACCATAAACCTCGTCTGTATCATCGAAAAGGTATTTTATGAATTCAGTTAAATAATAAATTTTATCCTTATAACCATACGTAAAACACTCGTCTTTATAGTCTGACCAATCCGTTTATCTAGTGCGGTGAGTACTAGATAGTCTTCCAAGTATTACTTGGAAAGGCCTATGGACTACAATCGACTTGAAAGGCTGTTGATGATGAAATATCCAGAAAATTTTGTGATCTCGATATAACCATCGTCATGTACATGTCATACGTGAATATCTTAAATAAGCGCAATCGGTTGAAAACCATTTTTTTTTGTTTTTAACTTAAGTTCAGCTGGAATCTAAACATTAAGTTTATTAAACCTCTACAAATAACTAAAATGAAATACTTGTATGTGTAGTACTTGGCGGGCTCTGCGGCTCCAATTCATTGAGCACTAAGTTACGGTCGATTTTCTGCCGAACTGAAGTTGACTGCGAGTGGGCGAGAAGACAAGTTCATTGTTTTGTTAACTGCAAACGTTTTTTTTTTGACAATCCAACTCTGATTTTGTTTATTTTTACTAACTAAATGCTGTTCTTATTTATGTACCACTTTATCAACGTGATTTGAAGTTTATTTCAGATAATTGTGTAACTTTATATTGTATTTAACTACAAACAATAACTATCGTAAATGAAAATACGGTATATATTTTTGCCAGCCCACGCTTGCATATGTAATTCACAGCTAGGCCACAGTTTTTGTCACAAATTGCCAGCCGAGTAATATACACATAGGTGTTTGAAAAAATTGCTTTGAGCATTTTTATATATAAATATCAAGCGCAAATTCTGAAAAACTAAGTATAGGTATAATGAGCGCTAATAATTTAATTCTTACCAGGCTGATTGACTGCTGGTTGGGACTGAGGTGCAATTATTAGATTTTTAATGTTTAAACTTATACATGTTCGCAAGAAATCTTTAATATTTTGCAAATTTTATTTCTCTTTTTTTCTTTTACTTAAAGTCATTAGTATTTTATGTGGTAGAGCCATGCTGCAGATATATTATAGTTGTAATACGAATAGCTCGTCTAGACTGGAGAAGGACTACACTTTCAAAGAATACCAGCGTAAAATAGCAGCTCAATTATGCTTTGTTTCGTGGGTCTATCGAGTAAATAACGTTTCTTAATGTTGCGTGTTGCTCAAATAAATGTTTCTTATTTTCACTTCACTGTATTGTATTGTGTGCGTGGTCAGAGCCCGGTGCCGCCGCAGTACGTGTTCTGGTACCACAACGCACGCATGATCAACTACGACGCGGCGCGCGGCGTGAGCGTGCAGACGGCGCCGGGCGCGCGCACGCAGTCGGCGCTGCGCATCCGCGCCGCCGCGCCCGCGCACTCCGGCAACTACACGTGCCGCGCCGCCAACACGCAGCCCGCGCACATCTACGTCTACGTCTCCGAGGGCAGTGCGTATCCGCTATCACTGTCGTGTTATGTACTAGCTGCTGTGTGTGTGTGTGCGTGCAGACGGCGCACTCCGGCAACTACACGTGCCGCGCCGCCAACACGCAGCCCGCGCACATCTACGTCTACGTCTCCGAGGGCAGTGCGTATCCGCTATCACTGTCGTGTTATGTACTAGCTGCTGTGTGTGTGTGTGCGTGCAGACGGCGCACTCCGGCAACTACACGTGCCGCGCCGCCAACACGCAGCCCGCGCACATCTACGTCTACGTCTCCGAGGGCAGTGCGTATCCGCTATCACTGTCGTGTTATGTACTAGCTGCTGTGTGTGTGTGTGCGTGCAGACGGCGCACTCCGGCAACTACACGTGCCGCGCCGCCAACACGCAGCCCGCGCACATCTACGTCTACGTCTCCGAGGGCAGTGCGTATCCGCTATCACTGTCGTGTTATGTACTAGCTGCTGTGTGTGTGTGTGCGTGCAGACGGCGCACTCCGGCAACTACACGTGCCGCGCCGCCAACACGCAGCCCGCGCACATCTACGTCTACGTCTCCGAGGGCAGTGCGTATCCGCTATCACTGTCGTGTTATGTACTAGCTGCTGTGTGTGTGTGTGCGTGCAGACGGCGCACTCCGGCAACTACACGTGCCGCGCCGCCAACACGCAGCCCGCGCACATCTACGTCTACGTCTCCGAGGGCAGTGCGTATCCGCTATCACTGTCGTGTTATGTACTAGCTGCTGTGTGTGTGTGTGCGTGCAGACGGCGCACTCCGGCAACTACACGTGCCGCGCCGCCAACACGCAGCCCGCGCACATCTACGTCTACGTCTCCGAGGGCAGTGCGTATCCGCTATCACTGTCGTGTTATGTACTAGCTGCTGTGTGTGTGTGTGCGTGCAGACGGCGCACTCCGGCAACTACACGTGCCGCGCCGCCAACACGCAGCCCGCGCACATCTACGTCTACGTCTCCGAGGGCAGTGCGTATCCGCTATCACTGTCGTGTTATGTACTAGCTGCTGTGTGTGTGTGTGTGTGTGTGCGTGCAGACGGCGCACTCCGGCAACTACACGTGCCGCGCCGCCAACACGCAGCCCGCGCACATCTACGTCTACGTCTCCGAGGGCAGTGCGTATCCGCTATCACTGTCGTGTTATGTACTAGCTGCTGTGTGTGTGTGTGCGTGCAGACGGCGCACTCCGGCAACTACACGTGCCGCGCCGCCAACACGCAGCCCGCGCACATCTACGTCTACGTCTCCGAGGGCAGTGCGTATCCGCTATCACTGTCGTGTTATGTACTAGCTGCTGTGTGTGTGTGTGCGTGCAGACGGCGCACTCCGGCAACTACACGTGCCGCGCCGCCAACACGCAGCCCGCGCACATCTACGTCTACGTCTCCGAGGGCAGTGCGTATCCGCTATCACTGTCGTGTTATGTACTAGCTGCTGTGTGTGTGTGTGTGCGTGCAGACGGCGCACTCCGGCAACTACACGTGCCGCGCCGCCAACACGCAGCCCGCGCACATCTACGTCTACGTCTCCGAGGGCAGTGCGTATCCGCTATCACTGTCGTGTTATGTACTAGCTGCTGTGTGTGTGTGTGTGTGTGTGTGCGTGCAGACGGCGCACTCCGGCAACTACACGTGCCGCGCCGCCAACACGCAGCCCGCGCACATCTACGTCTACGTCTCCGAGGGCAGTGCGTATCCGCTATCACTGTCGTGTTATGTACTAGCTGCTGTGTGTGTGTGTGCGTGCAGACGGCGCACTCCGGCAACTACACGTGCCGCGCCGCCAACACGCAGCCCGCGCACATCTACGTCTACGTCTCCGAGGGCAGTGCGTATCCGCTATCACTGTCGTGTTATGTACTAGCTGCTGTGTGCGTGTGTGCGTGCAGACGGCGCACTCCGGCAACTACACGTGCCGCGCCGCCAACACGCAGCCCGCGCACATCTACGTCTACGTCTCCGAGGGCAGTGCGTATCCGCTATCACTGTCGTGTTATGTACTAGCTGCTGTGTGTGTGTGTGCGTGCAGACGGCGCACTCCGGCAACTACACGTGCCGCGCCGCCAACACGCAGCCCGCGCACATCTACGTCTACGTCTCCGAGGGCAGTGCGTATCCGCTATCACTGTCGTGTTATGTACTAGCTGCTGTGTGTGTGTGTGTGTGTGTGCGTGCAGACGGCGCACTCCGGCAACTACACGTGCCGCGCCGCCAACACGCAGCCCGCGCACATCTACGTCTACGTCTCCGAGGGCAGTGCGTATCCGCTATCACTGTCGTGTTATGTACTAGCTGCTGTGTGTGTGTGTGCGTGCAGACGGCGCACTCCGGCAACTACACGTGCCGCGCCGCCAACACGCAGCCCGCGCACATCTACGTCTACGTCTCCGAGGGCAGTGCGTATCCGCTATCACTGTCGTGTTATGTACTAGCTGCTGTGTGTGTGTGTGCGTGCAGACGGCGCACTCCGGCAAATACACGTGCCGCGCCGCCAACACGCAGCCCGCGCACATCTACGTCTACGTCTCCGAGGGCAGTGCGTATCCGCTATCACTGTCGTGTTATGTACTAGCTGCTGTGTGTGTGTGTGCGTGCAGACGGCGCACTCCGGCAACTACACGTGCCGCGCCGCCAACACGCAGCCCGCGCACATCTACGTCTACGTCTCCGAGGGCAGTGCGTATCCGCTATCACTGTCGTGTTATGTACTAGCTGCTGTGTGTGTGTGTGCGTGCAGACGGCGCACTCCGGCAACTACACGTGCCGCGCCGCCAACACGCAGCCCGCGCACATCTACGTCTACGTCTCCGAGGGCAGTGCGTATCCGCTATCACTGTCGTGTTATGTACTAGCTGCTGTGTGTGTGTGTGCGTGCAGACGGCGCACTCCGGCAACTACACGTGCCGCGCCGCCAACACGCAGCCCGCGCACATCTACGTCTACGTCTCCGAGGGCAGTGCGTATCCGCTATCACTGTCGTGTTATGTACTAGCTGCTGTGTGTGTGTGTGCGTGCAGACGGCGCACTCCGGCAACTACACGTGCCGCGCCGCCAACACGCAGCCCGCGCACATCTACGTCTACGTCTCCGAGGGCAGTGCGTATCCGCTATCACTGTCGTGTTATGTACTAGCTGCTGTGTGTGTGTGTGCGTGCAGACGGCGCACTCCGGCAACTACACGTGCCGCGCCGCCAACACGCAGCCCGCGCACATCTACGTCTACGTCTCCGAGGGCAGTGCGTATCCGCTATCACTGTCGTGTTATGTACTAGCTGCTGTGTGTGTGTGTGTGTGTGTGCGTGCAGACGGCGCACTCCGGCAACTACACGTGCCGCGCCGCCAACACGCAGCCCGCGCACATCTACGTCTACGTCTCCGAGGGCAGTGCGTATCCGCTATCACTGTCGTGTTATGTACTAGCTGCTGTGTGTGTGTGTGCGTGCAGACGGCGCACTCCGGCAACTACACGTGCCGCGCCGCCAACACGCAGCCCGCGCACATCTACGTCTACGTCTCCGAGGGCAGTGCGTATCCGCTATCACTGTCGTGTTATGTACTAGCTGCTGTGTGTGTGTGTGCGTGCAGACGGCGCACTCCGGCAAATACACGTGCCGCGCCGCCAACACGCAGCCCGCGCACATCTACGTCTACGTCTCCGAGGGCAGTGCGTATCCGCTATCACTGTCGTGTTATGTACTAGCTGCTGTGTGTGTGTGTGCGTGCAGACGGCGCACTCCGGCAACTACACGTGCCGCGCCGCCAACACGCAGCCCGCGCACATCTACGTCTACGTCTCCGAGGGCAGTGCGTATCCGCTATCACTGTCGTGTTATGTACTAGCTGCTGTGTGTGTGTGTGCGTGCAGACGGCGCACTCCGGCAACTACACGTGCCGCGCCGCCAACACGCAGCCCGCGCACATCTACGTCTACGTCTCCGAGGGCAGTGCGTATCCGCTATCACTGTCGTGTTATGTACTAGCTGCTGTGTGTGTGTGTGCGTGCAGACGGCGCACTCCGGCAACTACACGTGCCGCGCCGCCAACACGCAGCCCGCGCACATCTACGTCTACGTCTCCGAGGGCAGTGCGTATCCGCTATCACTGTCGTGTTATGTACTAGCTGCTGTGTGTGTGTGTGCGTGCAGACGGCGCACTCCGGCAACTACACGTGCCGCGCCGCCAACACGCAGCCCGCGCACATCTACGTCTACGTCTCCGAGGGCAGTGCGTATCCGCTATCACTGTCGTGTTATGTACTAGCTGCTGTGTGTGTGTGTGCGTGCAGACGGCGCACTCCGGCAACTACACGTGCCGCGCCGCCAACACGCAGCCCGCGCACATCTACGTCTACGTCTCCGAGGGCAGTGCGTATCCGCTATCACTGTCGTGTTATGTACTAGCTGCTGTGTGTGTGTGTGCGTGCAGACGGCGCACTCCGGCAACTACACGTGCCGTGCCGCCAACACGCAGCCCGCGCACATCTACGTCTACGTCTCCGAGGGCAGTGCGTATCCGCTATCACTGTCGTGTTATGTACTAGCTGCTGTGTGTGTGTGTGCGTGCAGACGGCGCACTCCGGCAACTACACGTGCCGTGCCGCCAACACGCAGCCCGCGCACATCTACGTCTACGTCTCCGAGGGCAGTGCGTATCCGCTATCACTGTCGTGTTATGTACTAGCTGCTGTGTGTGTGTGTGCGTGCAGACGGCGCACTCCGGCAACTACACGTGCCGCGCCGCCAACACGCAGCCCGCGCACATCTACGTCTACGTCTCCGAGGGCAGTGCGTATCCGCTATCACTGTCGTGTTATGTACTAGCTGCTGTGTGTGTGTGTGCGTGCAGACGGCGCACTCCGGCAACTACACGTGCCGCGCCGCCAACACGCAGCCCGCGCACATCTACGTCTACGTCTCCGAGGGCAGTGCGTATCCGCTATCACTGTCGTGTTATGTACTAGCTGCTGTGTGTGTGTGTGCGTGCAGACGGCGCACTCCGGCAACTACACGTGCCGCGCCGCCAACACGCAGCCCGCGCACATCTACGTCTACGTCTCCGAGGGCAGTGCGTATCCGCTATCACTGTCGTGTTATGTACTAGCTGCTGTGTGTGTGTGTGTGCGTGCAGACGGCGCACTCCGGCAACTACACGTGCCGCGCCGCCAACACGCAGCCCGCGCACATCTACGTCTACGTCTCCGAGGGCAGTGCGTATCCGCTATCACTGTCGTGTTATGTACTAGCTGCTGTGTGTGTGTGTGCGTGCAGACGGCGCACTCCGGCAACTATACGTGCCGCGCCGCCAACACGCAGCCCGCGCACATCTACGTCTACGTTTCCGAGGGCAGTGGGTATCCGCTAGCACTGTCATGTTATATACTAGTATGTGTGTGTGTGTGTACTATTTCTACTATTCTTCTTTACCTTTTTCAAACGACTTCAAAAAGGTAGAGGTACTCAATACGACTGTATGTTTTTTATGTGCTACCTCATAACTTTTCTCTGGGTGAAACGATTTTGAAAATTCTTTATTTATTTGAAAGCTGGTGCTTCTTATATTGTCCCATGTAAATTTGATCTAGGTCTGCCTAATTACTTTTTAGTTATTTTTAATAATTTACATTAAAGTCGGTTGTACAAAAATGTTTACATATTAATTCACTACTATTCATTCTGATGCTGAGCAACAGTGCACATACATTATATAGGTTGACCGTCTGTGCTCATACCTGAAGACTAAGGTGAAATTTCGCATAACCACAAATCAAACTGGGTTTCTTAACCTTTACAGTAGAACGTAGCGGTACATCTAACCCCAACGTAAACGAAACAACCTACATACATCCCATAGCTGAACAAACCTCTTGCACTCATTTCATTGAAGGTAAGGGTTTCGAACAGAAAAAAAAATCGTCTTCGCTTCTTTCATCCTCGTTTCTTGGAGATTGTCAGTACCAAGTGTCTCGTACCATGGAGTATTTTACATCGGAGATTATATTCAATCAAGAAGTCTTTCTAGCCTTTTCTATAACCGCATTTTACGACACCCACGAAACGAAAAGAGGATGATTATTTAATTTGAAGAAATTGACGTAATCACCATACTTATTGGAACGGATTGCAATACGCTATATTATATATGTTGCTGCAGACTATACCGTAGCGATGGTCTTACTCTTATTGAACGCCATGAGAAGAAATTAATGGAAGGTACACCATTTCTAAATTAAAACTGAAGTCGATCAAACACCACTTATAATTAATATAATCAGGCGTTACTTTGCGGAAATCCATTATATAAAAGCTTTTAGAAAAATTTACTTCGCAAGTATCCGCGTTATAAAATAAAATGATGTGTCTTACCTAGTATGAAGAGCACCTCCCGCCCTCCCTCAATTGCGTGCACTATCCCCGTCACCACTAATCCCAGCACCGCTACTCCCAATTCCAGTAAATTTTATTATATAACGCGGATATTTGCGAACTAAATTTTTCTAAAAGCTTTTAAACACCACTTAATTAAAATTTTAAAAACAATCAACGTTTAGTTCTAGATGAAACCATGGTAACACGAACTGAGTGTATGCAAAATAGGCATGGTGATGAGCATGTTGAACCTAAATTGCAATATAAATAGAAAGCTACAAAAAATAGAAACATCACTAAAGTAGCAGACTTTAGGGTAAAACAAGAACACAGAAATAGAGATGAACAGGTCATATGACGAGAACTAAGACAGAAAAGTCGACTAAAAAAGTAACATACTTGTACCCGAAAAAATGAAAATCACGTAGAGGAAGGTAGACAAAAAGACGGGAGGACAATCAGGCATAGGGTTGGAGAAGAACAGCTCTTGAACAAAACTAGTGGAGCGAAATATAGTAGGCTTATGTCACACTACAACCTGACTGGAAGCTGAAACATATAGTTAAAATTAATATTAAGATAAAAATTAAGAGGCATATTATATGTACTATAGTTATATTACAATAATTACTGTTTCTGTAAACGAGTTTTTTAAAGTGTATGTAGTTTTCAAGTATTTTCTGTAAAGGAATGTCAGAGAAGAGATTTTCATTTACTTACCAATATCGAGTCAAAACTAAAAAATGACTCTAAAGAGAGAGCGATCTCACCAGAAAAACTTGTCAAAACAAAATTTGCAGTTGATACATCTTGCAACACAATAGTTGGCTAAATTAACAAACAGTGGCTTTGTTTGTTTTAGGTGATAAAATGGCAGCGACGCTGAGCCGCGACTCCAGTGCTGTGCGCGCTGCTTCAGCGCTGCTAGTTCTGTGCGCGTTACTTGCTCACGTCACGTGGTCAAACACATCTTCATTAAACGAGTGAAAAAGTCTGCTATCGCGAATGAAATGGCTACATAATATAATGTGTTGTGACTGTAATAGCGAGCTCTTTGCAGTAATTTTAAAATTATCGCTATCACGAAACAACTGGGATTTAGGAAGAAATGAATGTTTAAAATAGAGGATTGACTTTTATTCTAATCGAGTGCTATTAATTTGTGACGAACTCTTCAAGAGTTTTAACCATTATATCAGTACTTAAAGAGAATTGCTCAAGAACTATGTAACTATTCTAAAAAATTTGTATATATAATTTTATATTTTACGTCACGTCATTAGATACGTTAGTCTTTACAATGTGTCCTTACAATACAATATTTCGATATTTTAGTATTTTTAACCAACTAAGAAGAAGTAAAAGATTATAAATTTGACAATATTTATTTTATTTATATAACAAGTTATCTTCGAGGCCGGCAATTAAAAATTAATTAAACCTATTTAATTAATTTTTAATTGCCGACAATGTCACAGTAGTTCCATGTATAATTTTCACCAGGTCCGAAGATAATTCTAATTATGCCCAGCCGAAAACTGTTTAGAGCTTTATTAAAAATATGTCAACATTAACGGATTATTTAAATTTATATAGAATTTAGAATTTAAATGAATACTTTTTATTGTATTTTATACAGATTTTTAAAGTTATCGATGTGAATAATAAAACATACTAGTTCTTTAACGAACCACGTAATAATTAAAGTTTACGAATAATAAATCCAAACCAAAGTGAAATAAAAATCAAATCATTGCAAAAAGGAGAACAAAAGTAATCCGGTCCTAACAAAAATAACAGTCTTGTAACGGTAAAATTTGTAAAACTTAATGATTTATAAATCTTAATTTAAGAAAATTGTAAGTAATATAAGTAATAAATAACTGTAATGATAAATACTTTGGATCAAAATCTTTATCTAGTCGCCGTCGTCCATACAATGTATATAATATTCCATTATAAAATAGTGCGGAGGTGCAACGTGAGGAAAATGTTTTTTTTTTAATGTATATACGTATGATTTATTAAAATTAACAAATATTCGGTAATTTGTCAATAATTTGGAAACATGATACTGTAAACACTGAACTGAGATATAGTTGATGTAAAAAAAGTTAACTTAAAAAATAAATTTAAAATACTTCTGTTTTCCGTGTTTTATTTTGTAAAATCTTGTTCACAAACTAAGCTAAACATGCATCTATAGACCTAAAAGGTTTAAGGACCTTAAGTTATAAATGGATAAAGCATTCTCTATCACTCGACCGTAAAACTAATAAAAATTGGTAAATCCAATTGGGCGTGCCTTAAGCGCATTAAAAAAAATTACGTATAACATGATTATATGGAATTTTTTAAAGTAGTTTAAATACATTTCGACAGCACTATCGGCTTCAACACCCTCGAAACCCATGAAAATGACACCCATGATGAAAAAATTGGTACCTACTTCAGCCGCCATCTTGGATTTACATTTCAACAGCACTATCGGCTTCAATACCCCCGAAACCCGTGAAAATGACACCCATGATGAAAAAATTGATATCTATTGCAGCCGCCATCTTGGATTTACATTTCGACAACCCTATCGGCTTCAACTCTCTCGAAAACCATGAAAATGACACCCATGATGAAAACATTGATATCTATTGCAGCCGCCATTTTAGATTTACATTTCGACAGCACTATCGGCTTCAATACCCTCGAAAACCATGAGAATGACACCCAAGATGAAAAAATTGGTATCTAATTCAGTCGCCATCCTGGATTTATATTTCGACAGCACTATCGGCTTCAACACCCTCGAAAACCATGAAAATGACACCCGTGATGAAAACATTGATATCTATTGCAGCCGCCATTTTAGATTTACATTTCGACAGCACTATCGGCTTCAATACCCTCGAAAACCATGAGAATGACACCCAAGATGAAAAAATTGGTATCTAATTCAGTCGCCATCCTGGATTTACATTTCGACAGCACTATCGGCTTCAACACCGTCGAAAACCATGAAAATGACACCCGTGATGAAAAAATTTATACTTATTGCAGCCGCCATCTTGGATATACATTTCGACAGCACTATTGGCTTCAACACCCTCGAAAACCATGAAAATGACACCCAAGATGAAAAAATTGATATCTATTGCAGCCGCCATCTTGGATTTACATTTCGACAGCACTATCGGCTTCAACACTTTCGAAAACCATGAAAATGATATCCATGATGAAAAAATTGGTACCTAATTCAGCCGCTATCCTAGATTTACATTTCGACAGCATTATCGGCTTCAACACCCTCGAAAACCATGAAAATGACACCCATGATGAAAAAATTTATACCTATTGCGGCCGCCATCTTGGATTTACATTTCGACAACCCTATCAGTTTCAACACCATCGAAAACCATGAAATTGTCACCCATGACAAAAAAATTGATACTACTTACTTTTAGTACGTACTACTATTATTTATTCTGTGCTTTTAAAATATTGTAATAAAAAATCTCTTATTATTATTATAATCAAATATTTAAGTAATTTGGTTATTCGAATATTGTGTATTTGTACAGCGATCTTTTTGAGCCGCTGCAAACAACCGAAACAATTTCCACTCACGACGGAGATTGACGCCAAACTGAGTGAGTGAGTAAACTACTCTGTGGCTGTAGCTCCCCATTTACAGAAATAATTTACATACAAGGCTACCAAATCAACGAAAATTTTGCCACTTTGGAGTCGAAAAAAATTAATTATAGCTAAACAAAACAAAATTACAATGCCATTTACATTTAGTGGCTTCGCACATGATAGATGAAGAGATTAAAAAATAGATTGAGTTAAACAATTGATATTTTCAAAAGTTATCGTGTTTACAAGCCTTGGGGACATGATAAATCCACACCATAAGCCACTAAAACCCCTTTTTTATTTTAAAATAGCAATTTATCGATTTAAAAAATATATTAATGATTTCAACAATCATTTATCTTTCTAACAATGTGCTTTTTATATCATTTATATGTATAATATGGTTGCTAGATACAATTTTATTCGATAAAAAGTTGGAATCTTAATTTTTAGGCGATAGTAGAACATACCTTGCGCTTTCGCTTAAGGCATGCTATTGCATGCCTTAAGCGTATGTGCCTTGCACATCTCATCTGAAATATTTCTCTACTATTGTAGAGAAATATTTCAGATGAGATGTCATCTGTTACCAACCAAAAAACAAGCAAAAAGCAAGAACAAAAACAGTAAAGTAATCTACTTGTTGCTATATTCGTATTACTAGCATAATGCCACCTTTGGCTGTGTCTTCGGTGATTTCGTTCCTACGTTGCCCGCATGATATTTAAGCCGCTGTGTATATTATATCATGGGTTTTTGCCACAATGGGGCTGGTGTTAGATCTATTTTGAAGTGCATTCAATGTCGCCTGAAAGTCATTCAAGATCTGAATAACCTCCTTTAGGCATGTGTGCATCCTTGTGCCCCTTCGATGCATTTCATATCCTTGATTCAATATTCGGTTCAAAGAACACTCACAAGCCTCCTTAATCGCTAAGAGCTCCGCTTGAAACACAGAGCAGCTAGTCAACTTATGCAGGGGCCGGAGGATGTTTTAAAAATACTAATTTTATTAATTAAAAGATGTTTAATCGCTACAAAAACTCGCTTAAGATTAACTTAATATTTTATGCTTAAAAACTAATGCATGAGAGACCACACAGGAGCACGGCAGTTTCCGTTTGTCCACTCAGCACATGCCTGTGTGTGTGTATGTGTGTCTACAATTAGAATATTCTACTGATGCGGACATCTTGGGGGATTTGCCACCCGTAACACCTTCCTCCTCAAATTAGAAGTTATCGTTTACAGGAGAACATCGGATACAAAAATTAAACAAGTTTAAATGATACTTATGAACTAAGATACAGGTTACAATAATGAATAACAGTCCATACAATAAAATGGTCCATAGACCAACAATTTTAATCACCAATTATGGTGTGCCTTTTCACTTGCACTGTTTTTAATTTCACTTTTTTTTAATGCAACTGACAGAAGTTTGAGATCCGTAAGATCTACACCTTCTATGTTCAGCTGCACCGGGGATGACATCTCGAGGGACACGTTTAATTATAGGTAATATAGAGGATGACATGCTTTCAATTTCCACAGGGTTACTTGTTAGATAAATATCATTGATTTTGGCTGCACAGTTATCATCCAATGTTAAGATATATGTGCCATGAACTTTCTGCCTTGCTATTTCTTTATTACAAATCTCGGAGAGTATACTCTTTGATGTAGATAATCCATCTGACAGGTTGTATAAGCTGCAACCTCACAGCTTCCAAAATGACTGAACTTAGATGCATGAGGGTATATTTTCAGCATAAGTCATCAAGTCTGTAACGCAATCATCCTTAATTAGTACTGCAGTAAAATTATTTTTGCCTTTGGGACCTGAAAACTCCCTAGACTGAATGTTTGCTAATTTGTGGGTCTAAATAGGAAGATCCCTTCAGAGGTTAAACAATGTTGAGAGTGTGGAGGAGAAGTGGCCAATGCTAGTGTCGAAGTTATGAGAGTTTGAAATTTTTCAATATGGCGGGCAAAGATGGCGGACAAAATTTTAAAGACTGATATCTCTCCTTCTAATTTATCAAATTAGGTCAAGTTTGGGCTTATTTAACTCGTCTCTGGGCAGGCATGGGAAGAACCCGTATCGACTCTGCCACCATTCGAACCTCGGAATCCCTATGGCGTGTCGTGGATCACGTCTCGCGGCGCCTAAGGGGCCGAGGGCTCTTGGCTTAACCGCCTGGAGTCGCGAGGATGATAACCTCTTTAAAAAATCACCCGAAGCTCAAGCGTGGCACGCCGTGAGGAGCTGCATGGCTGATGGGTAAATGTTCAGTCGTTAGCGTTGCCCCCGTCGGGGTACCGGCCGACACCCTTGACGGGTTACGCATAGG